GTTAAAGTTAGCAACTAAATGGTCACCGTACGGCTTTAAACAATGAGCAAAACCCATAACGCAGGCCTAGGTATAAAGTCCACGACATGACAAAGGATTAGGCCCAGTAAGACCCCTTTTTGGCCCCAAAATATAGCAATTTTTCAAAATTGTTAAAATGTAAATTTTTAGCTATTCATTGGAAAGAAGAATACTTCTGTTACATAAATATTGGCTGTTTTTCACAATACAATGCACATGTATCATCAAGTCATGCTAAATTACTGAAATCTTCGAAATTTTAGCATTTTGGTTAATTTTTAGACGGTTTCCGTCTGAAATGGAAGTGGCCGCATTTGTGTTCATTCTTAATATTTAAATGTAAGTTGCATTCGATGATAATACATTACATATATAAAGGTTGAGAATGAACACGGATGCGGCCACTTTCATTTTTGACAAAAACCATCTGAAAAGTGACATATTGTGGCATATTTGATAGATTTTTCATATTTAAGCTTGAATTTGAGCGTCTTTAATGACTAAATCAGTTCAAATCGGGCACCCAATCCTCTCTTAACATGAGAAAGTGGTGTAACAGCACAACATAAGAACAAACTATAAAATCAGTTGAAAAGGATTGACTCATCAGATCAACACAACGCAACAAAAAAGCAACTTATAAAAAGACTTTGACACAAAGTACTGATCCTAGAGTACTCCCAGTTACTGAAAGCTAGTTCAAAGCCAATAACAACTTGTAAAAAAGCATGTATCTAAGCATGTATCTATAAGACTAAAATATCAATCAGTACACTCTCAATGGTTATAGACTTATAGTGCACATACAGAGAAAAAATATGTCAATTTCACTGTGATATATGCATGCGCGTTACACATGAATTGAATCCTGGGGTTTCAAGAAAATTGAAATTGAAAGAAAAAAAAATAACAACTGCTTGATTGGCTTGAGAGTTATAAGGATTAAACACATTTGTTTTTAGAGGTAATTGATGTGCCAACTGAGCCGCTGACTAGCAACCTTTACATAAAAGTCCGAACAGTTTGTGAGTTAGTAATCTACCATGTTTTCGCAGCCATCAGTAAGTTCTAGAAAAAATGTGTTGAATCATATAATATACAACTTTTTGCCAAGAATAGCCCAAACTTCCCACCTTTCATAACGATCGACCTACTTTACAGAACATTCTTATATGATTATTTTTTGTTTAGTTTGTTTTCGCCCTGACAACCAATGGATTCTCTACCTACAGTTGCTTGCTATTTCAGTTATCAATAAATTTCTTCCAATAACCCGTACATATTTTTGTTTGACCTTGCTTTGCTTTAAGTTTTGCCAAGAAAGTTTTGTTTCTTTCTCGCCAGACTTTTTTATTTCTCAATGTTAGAATTTCTCGTCGTGCCCGTGTAATACCGTATGAGATTTATTTCATAAAATATATCCAAAGTGTCTGGAGATGTCTTGAAAAAACTAGGTGTCGTTAGGCATGCGACTTGTAGACATAAATAATGTTTGAAAGGGAAATATCAAGAGATAACGTATTAAATATTGGTAATCATTCGCTATATTGGTTTTCAGAGTATCTTGTAAAATCTGGCAAATTCAGTTAATTATATATAATTGTATCTATGATATCTTTAAAATATTTGTTGACACAGTAATACGCGACAACACGGGATTTAACAAGAAAAATATTTAGACAGAACTTACCTTTCAATCGTTGGAACTTTTTTTACAATCTTACAGATAGCAAAACAATGGTAAAAACGCGAAGTCGTTTCTTTATCCATGGTCACGTTGATTGGTTGATAGGATTTTAATAGTAATTGCGACTAACCTGTATTTTTTACCTTTGCTTCTTTGACAAGTAAACTGGCACAACTTTTTCTAAGGATATTTTTAAAAAGAGACAGAGGAAGTGATATCTCAATTTCTTTTCAATCTCTTAACTTCTTAACATTTAAAATTATTATCAATAGCTTTTTTCTTGTAAAATAAATCCAAATAATCATGTTATTTCCGTTCAATAGGAAATCTTCCTGAAAAGCCACTGGCCACTAAAGGGCGCACAATTATTCACATGATTGCATGCACTGCAACTTGTCGTTTCCGTATTACGAAACGGTAGTCTTTACTTTATAGATTCGGATTGTTTAAGTACATTCTCAAATTGCTTACGAACCATTCAAAACAAAATAGAAGGTGCCGATTCAGAGAATGATTCAATACATTCTAATAAGGGATTTTAGGAGTAACGAATACAAAATGAGTAGTATTCAGAAAAAGCAATGATAAATTCCATGATTTGCTAAGGGAAACACTCAAAACTATTTTAATCATAAATAAAATAGGAGGTGCACTCTAATATATATATATATACAAGTTTATTGTTTTCTGTTTAGTATTAAATTTATAATTAAGATCCATTTATTACATCGGTGATCCGTTTATTTGGCAATCGCCAATGGCAGTCAGCAGGGTTTAAGAACATTTGTTGTTCGACCTGTTAGTCAAATGCGTTTTGTTAAAATATACTTTTTCACTTTTTTGGTCTTTTGGAAAATGTTGTTTGTGCTGTATTTAGACCCCTCTAACAAGAAATTTGTTTTGCATGCACACGTATAAAAATTGCGGTTTTTATCCAACGCAATCATAGGTTTGAACGTTGTTTTCAATTTAGACTTGTTTATATATAATATATATATATATATATATATACGGGTTATGTTCTTGATTTCTTTAGGGAAACTCAAAGATAATTTGGTTCAAAAATTAAAAAAAAAGGCGACGCACTATGGCATTATATAGTTAATATTTTGAGAAAGTTTCGTTAATTTCTGATTAAAAGTTTAGGAAAAGAAGCAGATACTAATGTGTATTGTAGTGAATGGATATGACAGGGTTCATGTCATGTCAAATCTAACACCAATAGTCATTCTCATTCAGATGAAGAAATGAAATAAGTGGTTCCAAAGTACAACATGTAAGTAATGTATGTCAAGCGGGTCTAGAGCTGTTTTGGATACAAAAGTAAGACAAAAGATGGGGGAGGGGGTCGGTATAATGTATATTAACAGTCTGAGAACTATTTTGTCTGTTTAAAAAACTATTTAATACTCTGAACGCCACGATATATACTTTATAAATGTGTTAATTTGTCAAAATAAAAGAGGCTCTATGAAGCCTGCTTTGCTCCGTGCATGATGTCTTGATATGTATTTTCATTAAAACAAACAGCATCACCTTGCTTGACAATGCAAGGCTAGGAGAAATATCTGTTTGAAAACCAAGATTTTTATATTCTTTGATTGAACCAGAACTATCATGTTTAATATGTTTTACCAACACCGACCACGCTGCTTATCACAAAATATTACAACAGCTATAATTCGAACTTGGTCAAGTAGCCTTAGTAATTTTGAGAGGAGGAAACAAAAATAGAATTTGACACATGTATTCTACATATACAAAAGTGTGTGTTTATTGGACGGATCATCGGTGACAATTATGAAAGGTTACGAAATGTAAATGATACTAGGAAATGCCAATTAGGCGGGACACTACACATTCAAAAGTCAAAGAGGGACAGACAACAAACATCATGTTCAAAGGAAAACAATACTACACGACACACTAAAATTGTCAATACATTAACAGAAAGCTAAAGATCCAACAACATATTAAGCTCCTCGAAAAGCAGGGGGGATAAGGTGCTTTAAAAGGGTAAACAGTGTCCAATAGTATAACTGGTAATTTCGACATCTTTCAATCGTAAAGATTACTCATACAACTCGTGAATCTAATATACGATTATATAGTGTAGATAATTCAGTAGATTAGTTACTGAACAGTAGATTCTGAATTACATGCCAGCTAGTATTTCAATTTACTATGCCCAACACTATATCAAACTTTTTTAGATTGCTACATGATTTCTTTTTCGTCATTATGTAACTGAAAAGAATGATCTATTCATCAGTTAACAATAATGTCCGGCATTGAAAAACTACGTCACGACAGAAGGTGTTGATGATGCAGTATACCTTCCATCTTTTGTATATATGACAAAGTTAATATTTTGCTATATACAGCCTCAAAAAGTTGTTGGAATCATAGCATTCATAGACCATTACGTACTAAAGATTTTATGGAAGTTTCATTGAAATGGTGTGCTGGTGGTTTGTACCACAGGATTGTGCATGCGTCTAGTGTTTTGAGAGCCATATAAAAAGACATGGTTACACCTGAAATCAGATGTAGAGAAAATCGCGAAAGATAGAACGAGTTGGAGGTCCCTTGTTGATGCATTATATGTTCAAGAACATGCAGAGGATTAAGTAAGTAAGTAAGTCATTGAAATGAAGTCACTAGTGTACAAATGCGGACAAACGGACGAACTAACTAACAAACAGAAAAATTGACACAACGAACACTATGCTTAACATGAAAATAAAAGCATAAATCTAGAAAAGAAATGTGTTTAATTAACAATTATATATGTTCATTTAATTCAAACGTAACTTAAGCAGCAGAGTCAGTTTTAAATAAATGGAGAATGTGTCCATGGGACACAGATGATGCCCCGCTTGCATATAAAGGGACATAACTAGAGAACTGTAAAAGTGACGCCACCCACAATGGAACTTGATCTGTGTTTTGTGATAATAAGCATTGTGTATAAGTTTCATAACATTTGGTTGAGGCAAACTAAAGTTAGAAAACGGAAACGAAAAATTCAGCATTTTTTCCATTTATGAAGGGGCATAACTCCAGAACGATAAAAAGTGACGCCAACCAAATTCAAAATTAATCTGAGTTTTGTGATAATAAGCATTGTGTATAAATTTCATAACATTTGGTTGAGGCAAACTAAAGTTAGATAACGGAAACCAATTACGGGACGTACGAACGGACGTACAGACAGACAAGGGTACTCCGCTATGGCGGCCGGGGGCATAAAAATTGAATTCCACAAAATAAAATCTCAAGACAAAAAATGCTCATTAGTCATAAATAATGAAACGTAAAACATTTATTGCTTGTATTTTCATGATTATAATCTCTTTCTAAAATATCAGCATTTTAAGAAACGGTAATAATGGCTAGTTTTTAAGAAGTCCATGCAATCCATAAGTATTTAGAAAAATCTGACACCTGATGATTTCGTTTCCTCTTTTTTCTTTTGAACCGATGCAGGAGTTAATGCCCTTTTACGACCTGCAAATACACTTCTTAATGGTTCTTCCACACTTGGATCGCTTCCTCGATTGACTTGTGTGTAAAGAACAGCAAATTCTCTGAAATGGTAAGTTTTATTATATAGCAAAACAAACATCGTCTTGGCATACGTATAGAGCGTTCTTTTTAGATCTTAAATTTGCATTTTAGAATTACTTACTTCAAGCATTTTGCTTCAAGTATAACATCTTTGCCTTTTTTTTGTGTAGAACTGCAAGGACCAATTACAAATGCATAAAGTTGAATCATAATAACTGTAGTAAAGAAAGGTTCATCGAAGAGAAAAATAAAATAGTACTGAGAACAATTAAATTCTTAAAATTCTTGTACGAGATACTTTTTGCATATCTTGCCTCGTGTCCTAAAGACGTTTAAGTGTTTGATGCCTAATTACTCATTTTCATGATATAACTCGTTTTAAAACTATCAAATATTGCCGATTTAGGGATGAAGTATCAAGCACCGGCTGATACCTTAAGCTACAATTAGCAGTTCTCCGGACTTGCAATTACCAGTTATCATTTTCACATTTCACCTTGATACGTACTTTAACTGGAAATTCCTGTTTCTCGTATCTCTAATCAGCCGTTTTACGCTCTGGATCTTCTTTTTTTCTGGAATCCGTTCACATTGCTAAAATATATGATTTTTATCCCACATAAAAAAATAGATTTTTGATGATAATTACTTGGAGATTTCCCCCGTTATTTTTAATCTTTGGCTTATCTCTCTTTATCAGTCAAGAGAAAATTATTTTCTTCAAGTATTTTTTTACTGAACATTACTCTACGTGACATTTCCTATAAAAAGCAAAAAATATAAGTAAAATGAATAAAGTTTATGCGTTCACAGTAATTCAAATAATGTATGATTCAATGAAAAAAGTATAATGAAGAATATCATATAGAAGCTTATGTTTTTAATATAATAGAAATAAAATGAACCGATACAGTTCTTCAGGAAAAACAGCCTTTTCTTCAACTCTTAAATTCAAGAACATATCAAAGTAATGTTTGACAAAAACCAGTTTGTCGATCACAGTTAAAAGAAAAATATGTTCAATTAGGCACACTTTTTATAGCTGACTATGCGGTGTGGGTTTTGCTCATTGTTGAAGACAGTACGGTGGTGACCTATAGCTGTTAACTTCTCTGTCATTTGGTCTCTGGTGGAGAGTTGTCTCATTGGCAATTATACCACACCTTCTTATTTTTATATTCATACCCTTCAATATTATCATCAGACCATTTTGATAAACACCTTAATATAATTTTAAATTTAAGCTTTTCTGGATTTTTAGTATCGTCGCTTTGGTTGTATCTATACATGTATATAAGTTTCTGCAGATTCATAAAAAAACAATTAGATTTTATCACTAAATGTATATCTGAACATAGAATTTTTAAGTATTGTAAATAGTACTAAACCTCTAACGAGAGAGATTGTGCTTGATGTTCATATGATGAAGACATACTCTTTCAATCAGGTTAATTGAGGTCTGGAGCTGGCATGTCAGTAACTGCTGGTAGTCCTTTGTTAATTCATGTATCATTGTCATTTTGCTTAGTTTCTTTTGTTACCTATTCTGACATCGGACTCGGACTTCCTTTAAACTGAGTTTTACTGTGCGTATCGCTGTGTGTTTCTTTATTCTACATTGGCTAGAGAGGTATAGGGGGAGGGTTGAGATCTCACAAAACATGTTTAACCCCGCCGCATTTTTGCGCCTGTCCCAAGTCAGGAGCCTCTGGCCTTTGTTAGTCTGGTATGTTTTTTTAATTATAGTTCATTCATATGTTTTGGAGTTTAGAATGACGTCCATTTTCACTGAACTAGTGCACAATTTTATTTAGGGGCCAGCTGAGGACCACCTCCGGGTGCCTGATTTTCTCGCTGCGTTGAAGACCCATTGGTGGCCTTCGGCTGTTATCTGCTCTTTTGCCGGGTTGTTGTCTCTTTGACATATTCCCCATTTCCATTCTCAATTTTATTTGTCAAATTCAGATTTTTTTTATGGCTGCAATCCAAGTTATGTTTGAAATTTTGCCTCCGGTACTGTTCATTCACTTTTCAGCATTTTTTTTTTGGCGCAGGAAATAACATGAACTGAACATTTTGGGAATAGCTAGACTGGACGGATCTAAATTGGTCTTAATTCAAGTGTATTTTAAAATGATAGCGATTTACTGAAGCTGACAGGTCTGAAAATTATTTAACGTCTAAACATTTTTTATTAGTTAGAATTTAGTCTAAAAAGATTGGTTTAAATCAAAATGGCCATTTCAGATTGAAATTTATTTACCGTAAGACCAGAACATTTCGAAATGATGTTTACAACTATAAAAGTTGCAGTTATTTATTGATTCACCAGGGGCAGATCCAGAGGAAGGGGCGTAATTCCATAAAACTGATTTTTTTTTATATACTTAAAAAAAGTTTGAACGATTTAATGCTACAAAGTCATATAAATCGTGAAAAAAACATGATATACTAGTAATTATTTTTTGGCGGAAGCCCTCTACGCCCCCTGGATCGGCCACTGTTTATGTATCTATTTAGCGTTTTGCTTTCAGAAGTATTTCCATTCTGGATGATGTTGATATTTCTACCTTCATGGCAACTATGATATCGTCTGTTGTGATCATTTCTTCTCTTTCTTTTTCATAATCTGGAAACAAGTCATATACGTCTACATCCACATCTTTCATCAATTCAACGATCTTTATTAAACTGTACGTCAACTGATCGCTAGTTTTCTCACGTCGAGAAGGAGGTCGTGATATCAGTACCGTCATGCCACGTTTATTCTGTAGTGTGTTTACGGCATCTATCAGCTCAGCGTCAACGTCAATACCCTGAAACATATTTTGCATGCCTTTAATGGAGATGCTGTCGCATGGAAAAGGAAAATCATAGTTTAATAAAAAAGAAGAATGTGTCTGAGGACATGAATGCTCCCGTTCAAGCTTTGCAACGAAAATGGACGGACGGACGGACGGGTGGTCAAGGGTAACACTTAATGCCCCCGTCGCCTACGGCGGGGACATAAAAACACGTTTTATTTAACCTGTATAAGATTAAAGAAATAAAACAAGCCCTTTATTGTTTAGACTTTTTTTACATCTATATGCGTATGTTGACCTATGATTAAAACACAATCAGGGGAATTGTCCCTATGCTATCAAAGCATCTATTAGCTCGGCATCAACTTTTATACCCTGAAACAAAGTTTTACACGTAAAAAGGAGATATCGTTGCAGGAAAGTACAAATCATAGCTATTTCATAAAAGCGTAGCATCTTATAAACATGTTTTACGCGTTTTGTATTTCATAACAAGGTTAAACTGCCGTGTGTCATCTTTGTCACGCGATACATTCTTTAGCAAAGATAACAGTCTACGATTATTAATTATTTTCATTTCAATACGTATTAATAACCGAAATGTAAAGCGTATAAAAATGTTTATATAACCAATGATTATGCATAATTCTATGATATTCTATACGAGAATTATAACAGGATCAAATGACTTTACGTTTGTCGCTTCAGTTTATAACCTTTGCATGATTTCTAATAAACTCAACCATCTGCCCAAGATAATATTACAGATCAGATGAATCCGATAATATTTAATATGTGATTTGGCGCCAATCTTTGTTGACAAGATATGTCAGTTTTCCTGCCGAAGGTCGGTGGTTCTCTCTAGGCACTAGCTCCGGCTTCCTCCACAAATTAGCTGGCAGCCACGATATGGCCAATAGTGTTTAAAGTGGCGTAAAACATCAACCCTTCGATGCAAATTTTACGATTGCCACATTTCACCAAAAATGTCTTTGAAAGCAAAGTTTCAATTGATTTATAGGTGTATGGAATTGTTGGAAAATACTATTATAAGTTTATTATTCAGACTCTTTTGTATATTCAAATTTCGATGACGTATTTTTACCCGATGAGTAAAACAAATTCAGGGAAAACTGTCCCAATTACATATCAGCTCATCATGTCAAAAGTTGCATTAAATGAACATGTGCTTATTTTTATGACACAGTTGGTATCAATCAGTATCAACACTTAATCGTTTAGTGATGGCACAGTTGCAGAAACCTCTTTTTGACTCTAGTTACTTCGCTATAAAATCTCCATATTACCTGAAGTTCAACAGTAGCAAGTCTCTTTTTCATGCGGGAAGAGTATGGTTTTAACAACGTAAGAGCACCAACTGAAGAAATATGGTTATATGAAATCTAAAAGAAACAAAAGTATTCTGATTTTAAAGTATATAAATTGTCTTTGACATTATCAGTCTTTTAAAATGTATAATCTTTGATAAACCAAACACAATATCATACGTGACATTACACAGAGAACCACTCAACAAGCAAATAAGTATTTCCACAGAAAATAAAGTAGAACACAGTTTCTCAGTAGATGAGCTAATTTTCATCTTAATTTCTCTAAATCAAGGAAATTAGAGTACAAATTACTTCCGAGAAAAAGATCAATCATTTCTTGACTGCATTTTACCACATCATTTAACCTGCAGAACATTAAAGAGCAAACAAACCGTCAGTCATTACGGAAGAGTAATGTTCCTTTAACGTTATATTAGATGGTTAGTATGAGATCAATCATTTTCCTGAGCTTTTACTATTTCCCTTTGGAAAATTAAGTAAGTTTAACTTGTTATGTAATCTCATCTTATCCTCAAGAAGATATTATTAATGGCGATTTCGACGTCAAAACCTTTAAAGGTTACATAATTTTCTTAATAATCTATAAGTACAGACACTTATGATTTCATTTCATTTCTTCATGACTATAAATGATTGTCATTTGCTTTTAATGTCAGTTCCACCGATTTCATATTTCTTTGCAGCTTGACATTTAAAAACATGAAACAATGAGCTTTTCTTTCTTTCTAATAACATTGTAAGTAACGTTACATCAGGTTCATCACGAACTAATAAAATAAAATGTTTAATCAGGTTTATTTTGTCCTTGAAATGAAAAAAATGAAGCAATAAGAGATCATTTCTTTCTGATGAAAACACTACTAGTGCTGCGGAAATGGAAAGCAAATAGCGTGATTTTTTTGTCACAAGCTTAAAAAGATAAAAGAAACCTAACAATTTGGTCAATGGATCTTTTTTAGATTTACTAAGTAAAATATAGAAAATGTCTTTCTGGTTTTATAAGATATGTCAACAATCTAAATGAAATTAAAACAAATTGAAAAAGCTTGAAAAATCAACGTTTCAAAATCTTAAGGATTGTTGGTTTATTTTAGGAGGCTCTAGATGGGGTAGCAGACTAGAGTATAAATAAAGAATACAGAAAAATGGGCAAAAAAATTGAAAAGGGAATAATGGGGTACTAAAATATGAAGAATAGAGAGTTATGGACAAAATAGATTAATAAGAGAAAAATGGTCCTAAAAATAAACAATTTAGAATGAAGACAATGGATCTATTTAGATTTTTGTGTGTACTCGGTACACGGTAGGTCATTGTTTTTACATTCATCGTTTAGGAAGTCGTAAATGAATCGCAGCATATTAAAATTATTACCCAGAATGATTTAGATACGGACATGTGGGAAACTTTACCTTGAGCGTCTTCAAATGACGATTATATGGTATAATTGTTGATATCACTCTGGCTACTTTGTCTGTTAATCGATTTGCAGTTATATCCAGCTCTTCAAGCGAATCTTGGTTCTTTAAAGCTTCAAATAAGGCTATTCCTCCGTCTTCTCCAAAACCATTCATAGCAACATTTAGTATTTCTAACTGAGTATTAACCTAAGATATAATAAAAAGGATGAATATAAGAGCATTTGTCGTTTCGGGGCCTTGTATGGCTTACTATGCGGTATGGGTTTTGCTCATTGTTGAAGGCCGTACGATGACCTATGGTTGTTAGCTTCTACGTCATTTGGTCTCTGGTGAAGGGTTGTCTAATTGGCAATCATGCCACATCTTCTTATTTTTATAAGTTCATTGATATTACACATAAAACTTAAGATTGAGCAACAAAACCAGTGACAAGAAGGTGAAAACTCATGTAAGTACTTCAAAATGACCTTAACAGAGGTACAAGGGGCATGGTGGATTTTTGTCGCTTTTCAATTGATTAAAAAATTTAGTTAAAATCTTAAGGTATGTAAAACACAAATAGAAATTGTATTCTTATCCCCCATTTCATTAAAAAAATACATTTTTGAGGAACTCAACCAACGTTTTCCTCCTACGAAAATGAAGATTATGTTAGTTCTCTTTTGTATTCATCAATCATATTTTATTCAAGACGCTCTGTCGAAATATGAAATTCGTTTTCTAAGTCAAACTAAATAGTTTGATGTCTTGCTTGTGGGTAACAGACTTCAAATACGCTTTTTTCATGAAAGCCAACATTATTGGAATTTCAGCTATGTTTTGTCTTTCAGATACAAATTAATTAATGTTGGTTTAATGATGTCCATGTACGCAATCACTCATAATTTTCTGGTAACTTTTTTGGTTTAAAAGAGAAAATGAGAGCTATTCATTATGTCTAGTTACCAACTTTGTCTGTCGGAATAATGTCCGTAAATTTGAAATTTGTGTAACTATATTCCATTTAATTTGGGGTTTCAATTCTGATTACTTGACTTTGTTTCCTATACTTTAATCATTTCATGAATATTTCTTGGATTTTGATTGAAATCATTACATTATGCGATGTACGCATATAGTTCAGCCTAGAAAGACACCACAAATAATCATAGACAACCACGGTCAATGATGTTATACATTTTAAGTTAGTAAAGTCAGAGACATATGTGTATACATGTCTCTGGTAAAGTACATCAAATGTACTATAGAAAGACTTCTGATGATAAACACAACATAACGAAAACATCTTTATTATAAATCTATATAAATAAAAAAACTACAAATGGAGTAGTACCTTTAAACCAGCAGCTAAAGCAATTGCACCCTGTTTTCCGATTTGATTCCAACTAATATCTAATAATTCTAAAGTGATATTGCTTCCTGAAAATCAAGCAATTCAATCATAAAATGAATCATTTTGTCAAGCAGGTTTTGATATTGGTTATACGTTTTATTTTGCTCTGATGAATATTTGTTCTTATTCTACGACTGTCTTCATTATTTAATCATCATATGTCGTTCTAAAGAAAGGAAGTTAACTACATGAACTGCTTAATTTGTGAATTTTACATTTTAAAAGATAAGTAAGGTAAAAAACGAGTTGATAACATTTATTTTCAATGGAGTAATATCGTGTAGGGTGCATAGAGGTAATAAAATGTTCGTGTTATCGAGCATGATTCAATTAATATCGCGTTCGTACTTACATTGTAAAATGTGAACTTACAAATGCCGAAGCTTTTACCTTTTTCTTAATACCTACTGAAAAAGATACACAGAATTGATATAACTGCTGTTAGATTGTACGTCCCCTAGCGTAGCTCCGTACTTCGGTACTAGCATGAATGCATACGGGTATTTTTTAATTGAATTGCTGTTGTAAAACTTTGAAAAATAATTTTTAAATTAAGGAATGTATTTCCCTCGTTCATAAGTCTGATTCCTTGTGTGGAGTTTTGCAACATTTTTTGTCCTTTTTTTGTTTGGTTATATCTGCTCGTCAACGTTTGAAGTAGATTTTTTTTTTCAAGTATTTTGGCCTTAAACATCACTGATGAAACATTCGAAATGTGCATCTAGTGTATTAAAATTGGTACTGTTAATGTTATAACATAGTTATTTGCAAACCTAAAGAATCTCCAATATACTTCGCAGCAGCATTGCCAAGGTTATTGCGTCTTAGATATAGCTCCCGGAGGAAAACATTATTCTGTAAAAAGAACGTATATTTAGCATGTTTAGGTCATCTTAAAGTAAGTCGATCGTAATGAAGCACACAAGGAATAAAAGCCTTAAGAAAAAAATAGAAATGGTAAAGATCTTACACTGATTGCTACATTTACATATTTTAAAAAGCAACAAAACAACGTCGGTGGAACGTGTTTACCTACCAAAGAAAAATCTACAAACAATGAGATAAAAGGCAGATTTTAATGTCCCTTTTATTGTTAAGTAATTCGTTACCTCAATGATCTCTGCTAAATAAGGACCAGCCTTTTCTCCAAGACCACAATCTACAATTATTCATATGAAGGTGTGAAAATTTAAAAAAAAAAGTGTTAGCGTTGCATTTGATTTTTAAAATGTGCAGATGATAAAAGACGATGGACAAAATACATTTTGAGTGAAGTTTTTTAAGTGATATTTTTTCACAGAAGTTGTGACATATAACACCACAATCATTTGAGTCTGTACCATGTCAGACTATTTTTACCATTAGTTGTTTGTTGTCGTATGTCTTCGGTTTTTTTTCGAAGGTCAGGTGATGGTGCGTGTATGTTGTGCTGTCCAGAATGTTTTGTGATTCCTGTAATCTTTTTTTTATTTATTATACAGAAACAGTTACATGACCGGTTTTCCTCACCATAGACTGACTAGGACTGATCGTAAAAGGTAAGATTTCAATTACAGCCGAAATCCTAGACAGCAATTTTACATCTTGGTTACAGATGTTGCGTTCGAGTGTATTCTTTGCATGGTGACAACATAAATGCGTCTAGTTACATTATTTCTAAGTTGCTTACTGTTTATAAATTATAGTGACGTGGCTCAAGTACATTAATAACCGAAGGATGTTCGATTTCATTACAGTTGATCTGTGATTTAGTTTTGTAATAGGTTAATGCAAGGATATTTAAAATATAATTAATAATCAGTATAACTATTTATCTTTTTCTTCAAAAGAATGTCTTTCAATCACATTGTCGTAAAACCCACGCTAGATCATGCCAAATTAATTGAGTAATATATATCTGAGAGATAAACATACCTGAAACGTCAGCCTTCACCACGTGATAATTATTTGCCAGTATATATTTCAGAATGTTTGCACCTTCTGGACCAACAGGATTATTTGAAATATTCTGGAAAATATTTTAAAACAAGAAAAAACTACTATGCACGCGTTGCTGTACTAAGCATATCCCACTAGTCTAGAAATACATAGAAATGGAAAAAAATTAAGAAGGTGTCTGATAGATCAGACAAGTTCTAACACTTTACTCGCCCTTCCCAAGCTGCTGGCCAAATATTAATTCATTCTGTTCAGTAGTACCCGAGAACAGGGGTCGAAAAGTGTTAAGTTCATTTAAGTATTGGCAAACAGGAAGACTAAAGCAGGTGTCTTACAGATCTCAAAAGTATTTATACGTTACAACTTATCCCGGTGAACCTGCGGTTGTTCAAATCACACGTGCTTGTGGAATGGACCACGCCTTTTTCTAAATATTTGTTTTTGTGTTTTTATTATTTTTAGTAAATATTCTGTATAATATTCTAATTCATTTTCACTTATTTGATGTGTTCTTGGTCTAATACATACGATATTACAATAACAATTGTTTATGAATTTCCCCCCTCTTTTATTATTTTCCACAGTGGATAATTATAAAAGAGGGTCAAATTTATAAATGATTAAAATACAGAAGATGAAACTATTTAAAGATCTGAAGTTCTTGCCTGTCTAATATAAAAATAACGATAATTTAGTCAGCCATCAACCAAGCCTTTCGGTCATAAAACTTTACGTTGTACTCGGAGAACATTTGTGTGCTTCAAAAACCAACTCCAGTATTTTTATCGATTGGTTTTCGAGTCTGTGTACGACAATCGTACTTAAAATATTTCAGTCCAGGCCATGAATCAAAGTAAGGGGATGTAATCAAACACTATAAAAGGATCGTCGTACGGCCTTTAACAATGACAATCACTGAATTACAGACGCCTGACTTTAGAAAGACACAAACAGAAAGTCGCGAAATTAAAAATGTTTCTAAGCTTTCATTCCTCCCCTAATGAGGGACAGGTTTGTAAAAATATGTAACAGCACAACATAAGAACACACTGTTAAAATCTATAGGAACATATAGCTCCTAACGTTTACAGACTTATTTACTCATTCCTGCCTGTCAAGTGTTCAAGTTTGAGCATTCTTGATGGAGGTTAATCCTGAAAAGCGCTTTGGACGCATAAAATTTATAAAGTTTTATTTTCATGGGAAGGGAATGATTCACCAGATCTGTACTAAACACACAAAGCAATGCCTAGTAAATGCCAAGGTGACATTTGTGAAAATGATATCTCAGAAAAGTCATAATTGAATTGCTGAAATACTTGGTATTCGTATCTTTCTTAAAAGAATTTGAGCCTTTGATTATATAGCATTTGACGGAATATCCATTAAAGAATACTAGAATGTAAATGCTCCATTACAGGGTAATTTTTAGATTTATATAACGCAATACATCGTTTGAAATGGATTATTTGCTAAAGAAGCTATAGATGAAACAATGTTAAAATCTTTATAACATACGAATTCAATAATGCTGTTGTTCTTTAGCAACATGTCTGCCATAGTCTGTAAATGTTTGTGAGTTATTCCATTATCTTCCAAATCAATGCTTTGAAAAGCCAGATTCTGCTGGAAAAAAAAAATAGCAATATTCAAAATTCAAAGCGTTTTCAAAGTTTTACAATTTGCTTCCTGAGAATGCACACTAGATGAGATGACGGTATAAACTTGTGCCATCGAAACATTGTCAGATTATCATTTATTTTCCACAAAATCTTCTTTTATTTATTACCGTTTTCAAATTTGAAAAATGATGATGCCTTTTTGATAGCAGAGATAACAAATCTATTTACTACAGAAACAAAGAAATCATTAGGTTTGTACTTCTCTATTCTTTGCTGTTTCGCAAATTTATCGATAGTATCCTATACTTTTGAAATTGGTACATTTTCGTTGGTTAAAAGGAGTAGGTCCGGTAAGGGCTGATTTTGGCCTCAAATTTCAGGTTCATCTGATGAAAGATTTTGGACACTTTTTAAACACTTAAGTGTCTACTTAATTCGATTCAGTTAATTTCTGAGAAAGATTTGAACTGATTTAGTAATTTTAGACGCTCAAATTCAAGCTTAAATATGAAAAATCTATCAAATATGGCATAATATGTCACTTTTCAGATGGTTTTTGTCAAAAATGAAAGTGGCCGCATCCGTGTTCACTCTCAACCTTTATATATGTTATGTATCATCATCAAATACAACTTACATTTAAATATTAAGAACGAACACAAATGCGGCCACTTCCATTTAAGACGGAAACCGTCTAAAATTTAACTCAAATGCTAAAATTGTGAAGATTTCAGTAATTTAGCATGACTTAATGATGCTAGCACCCGATATAAGTGTATTGTATTGTCAAACACAGCCCATATTTATGTAGCAGAAGTATTCTACTTTCCATTATAGCTAAAAGTTTACACTTTAACAATTTTGTAAAACTGCTATATTTTTGGGCCAAAAAGGGGTCTTACTGGACCTACTCCTTTGAATGATACCTTTTTTTTCGAAATGTAATGGAGAAGCAGCTTTTTTAAATTGTGTAGAATCCATCATTTACAATTTGATATAGACCAACATCTACTGTACACAAAAGACAACTGTTGTTTTTGATAGAAACCAGAAACACAGATCCTCTTGTATATGCCCTACCGATAACCTGTTTATATATGTACCAACATTTTCATTTTTCTATAGATATTATGTCTGGAACATAATTTTCCAGAGCTTATATTTATTACCATGATTTGTCGAATAGATGATTACTGTTAACAAAGAAGCTTCAGAATAAAGGGCTCCCAAATGTACAGTTTAAGTTGTCTCATATTTAAAGATTAACGGCCTATTAAGACTTGATTATCCGGAAAATCTGTGTCATAATATTTGTGTCGCATATACAATTATAGAAATGTTCTATCTGTCATTGTCACGACACAATTGTTTAAATATTTCATTAATTTATGTTCCCACTAACGTGATAATTTCAATTTAAAAATCTTTTATAACAGGGATAAAGAGATCATAAATGGATCACAATTTTACTGTATTTTAGCAAATATAGGGAGTTATTGTGAGTGTTTCTGCATCTGCAAGAAATTAACGAAAAAAGGTAGTTAATACTGATTTTTTTATGTTCTTCTATAATCCTTTAGTTATTCCAGTGATCGAGAGTAAAATACGGGTGGTAAAGATCTGAAATAAAAACAATCATTTCACATTTTCATGTGTCTGTTCGGTTGTCCAATGTCAGATGTAACAAGGTTGTCTTTAATACAGACTTGAGGCGATTTATAACTTGAAATAAATCTGATGTTGAAGACCATGTATGCCGAACTCATGATGTCTTTAGTTTTGTTTTGTCTTTTGGTTGCGCTGTCTCATCTGAGTTTACCCCATATCTCATTTTCTTCTTATATTCATATTTTAAGATTGATTTTAATATTGGTAACATTACAAATGTTATATACAGGAATTGTCTATACCCTGCTATCACACGTTAGTTTAAACGATGTTCACTATGCTCAACTTTTAAAAAAAAAATTTATCGAATGTTTTTGAACCACTATTAGCTATTTGCATGTTTTCTTTAAGCAATGGTGTTCTTCTTCATTTTATTGTTAACTTTGTTTCACTTCGTATTCTCAAACCTTTTTTATATTGTCAAGCAAATATTGCCAAATATCCTGCCCATTAAAACAACTTCATCAAAATTCATCTTCTTTTCCTAACACAGCACGACAATGGCACGGGCTAGAATTCGATTTAACTGTCATACAAGTGAGAGGTTTAGCTAGTTATAAAACCAGGTTTAATCCACATTTTTTTACATAAGGAAATGCCTGTACCAAGTCAGGAATATGGCAGTTGTTTTCCATTCGTTTGAGCTTTTGATTTGCCATTTGATAAAGGTCTTTCCGTTTTGAATTTTCCTTGGAGATCGGTAATTAAACTATGAAAGCTTCATACCTCCACTTCCTTTGAAATAGTTCTGCAATCACTTGACGTCATGTATCGATGTCTCATTTTGAAATTGTCCTCGGTAGCATGGCGTATCAAGAATGTATTGGGGACGACTTTGAGATCCCGGCAACGCTTTTTGTATTCAGGAAATTCACCAAAATCTTTTATCTGTTTTGTTTTTTCGTCCACAATCAGTTCTAAGCCGACTGTAAAAAATAAAGAAATTTTGTACTATGCCTAACATAAACATATTTTTGAAGGTGTAAAAATTCCAAAATATGTTCACATAATATGCTGAATTGGAAAAAAAAAAATTTTTGGTGATAATGATAGTTTGAAGTTTAACGTCTAATGGCATATATTATATGCACATAAGGATGAAAACATGTCGATTTTGAGCCGGATCTTTTAACGTGCTTGTTCACAAGGTAATAGTCACACGGTACACATATAACCCTACCCGGAGACATTATTTAGACTCGGATCCGACCAGTCTTTGTTCATTTTTTAAGTCTTTGTCTTGACCTGGAATGGGAGAGAAAAAATGACGTCGAGGCGAGAATACATAGGCAGTTCAAATATGTCTGGCTGAGCATACCAGTTATTCTGCAGTACAGGACACCCCCATCACATAAGTCTTTCCCTCCGGATTACTAGGCAAATGACTTTGATCTAAACTGGATTGTTTACTTTATTTAGTTGAACAATGCAGAATAAGAGTATAAGTTTCTTTAGCTAGATATTTAAAACCAGGTTTAATCCACCGTTTTCTACACTAGGAAATGTTTATACCAAGCTAGGAATATGACAGTTGTTTTTCATTCGTTTGATGTGTTTGAGCTTTTGATTTTGCCATTTGATTAAGGACTTTCCGTTTTGAATTTCTCTGGAGTTCGGTATTTTTATTAATTTACTTTTTTCTAGCTTTTCAAATAAGTGGATCAAAACAAACCAATATTTTCATTTTATTAGTGATTGGAAACTGTCATATCATGAATATTCATTTGTCTTGTTTGACTTTGCCTAAACTACACAAAATAACTTACTAATTTAAATACCAAACTATTTTTGTCTTAACTAATAAGTTTTCTTTGCAATTGTGTTATTTAAACAGGTTTTCAATACCGACCCGCACTGTTTTATAAGTTCAAAAATCACGTTAAAAGAAAAAGTAAAAAAAAAAAAATGAAAAAAGCAAATATACCCCTGTCTTGATCTAAATCTGTATCATATTCGTCATCTTCACTGTCCTCTGTCTTTATAATTCCAAGTTTAGCATCTATGCCAAAATATACTCTTAATTCATCCTTCAGTTTGGAACATTTTATCAATCTTTCTTTCTTTTCGTTATACAAGTCGTCACTGATGAGTTGGGAGTTATCGATCAAATTTAATGGCTTCAGCTCTGATAGCGGTGTAATCTGTTGTCTTCTGCTGTCTGCACGCGCAGATTTTCTTGCAGACGACGTACCAGAGTTTGATTTTTTCCGACGTCGTCGTCGCGTGCGTGAGCACGGGGATGAAACAGGTTCGTCGTCAGATGAAACAGAATTTGTTTTGTCTTCAACAGTTGGTAGTTTGACTATACCATTTTCTGGTGTATTTTGTTTTGATCGAACAGTGTTGATTTCAGGAAATCTGGTTGTTGTTTGAACTTTTGTCAACGATTCATCCATTTGAGAAAATATTTCTATTCTTTTGATATTCTAAAAATTATAAAGCCCCTGTAATGACAAAAACACAAAATCTATTTGTTTACATATGCTTCCAAATTAGTTTCATAAGTTTGCACTTCTTTCTGCTTTTGAGTTTCACTATTAATGATTCTGAACGGGTCATTGTCGTTTTGGTTATTATAAGAACGCATCCTCGGTGCGTTTTATTATAGGAAAAATACCCATGTTGAAATAAACGCTGTTATAAGGGTACCCAGAATATCCCTGATCTTAAAAGCGTTGTCTTATCCAGGATCTTATCATGTTTGCTGTTTTTCGGAATCTTTTGGTAATTAAGTTGATGATACTGAACCCGCTCTTGCATCATGGCAGTCATAAGGAAAGAAACGAAAATGATTGAAAGGCTAAGCATTACCTAGAATCAACAAAAACTTATAAATATTCCAAAAGTCTAAATGATCTAGGTTCTTTTCTTTCTTCCAAGTTACCTTTGGTACTATTTCAAAACTAAAATTTTTACAGAAAAGCAGAAGAAAAAATTGGAAATTGCATGAAGCTTCTAAGGTTTAAATTCATTAACAATGAGAAATCGTAAAAAGTTTGTTTTGTTTCTAATAAGTACGGTGTACTGATAAGTTAGTCATATAAGCTCTATAATCTTTGAAATTTGTTTTTTAAAACTTTCATTTTCTCTTTTGGTCAAAGCATTTATGCACCAAGTGACTTTAGCATAACTCATGCTTCTACTAAAAACTAATGTGTTTTCTCTTTTTAAAGATGCCAATTTCGTACCTTATTAGGACTTTTTAACTTGTTATATTCGAGCGTCTTTATAGACGAAACGCTCGTCTGGAGTACAAAATTATAATCCTGGTATCAATGATGAAATTGGTTACCTTAAACATGCTTATATTCGGTTTTTAAGCCAAACTGTCTGGTTTCATTCAGAAGTGTCATAAATGAGGGTCTTAATAGGAGTGGATACCTTCATGACGAATTACGGTAAATAAAATTGCCAAATGAATGTTAACGGTAATTTTTTGTGCCTGAGTATGAAATGAACCTTTTCTTTGTGACGATAATAAAAATCAACTGATTTTGACGAATCACGTTAAATTCTTTCCTAAAATAACGGTAACGGTTAATTATTTCATACCTCTGACGAATCACAATAAGGATATTTTGACGAATCACGATAAACTTTTAACCAATTTGACGTAACGGTAGCCGAAAATGACCGTTTGACGCCTGACGGTAAAGGGCATTCCTTCCCTCATGAATTTGGCTTTCCATTTAAACATTTCTTACAAAACATGTGGTAGTTCGCAAATCAAAAAAGATGTATCATATATTTATGCATGAATACAATTTTATATAATTCTGAATGGAGATTCGTGCAAATAATTTTCTATAAGATAAGATTTGTACGGCTGTGGTGTATTCCAGTCAATGAGAATCTACTTTTTTTTATTGAATAACAAACTAATTTGCGAGGTGGCCAGTCATTATTCCGAATACTAATGGAAAGTTCTGGCCATAATGTCAACAACTGTTCCCACAAGTCACTAGTTGACAGTACTTAAAGCTAATCTTAAACAACATATTCCCTACAGAATGGAAAACTTGTCAACTTACGACAGATAAAGATCAGGCTATTAAGTTAGATGATCCATTTATCACACAGAGAAACAACACTTTTGTCGACAAATTCAATAATAAAGAAACAAGGCGAGGAAAAGGAATTTCCTTTTGTCACTTACCATTTGTGGGAAAGTGTAATGAAAAATCGTTAAACGGGCTGTCAATAGGGTTGGTTTCGTCTTATATTACGTAAACGTCATTTTTTTTTTTGGTCATAATAGAAACTAATCGGAAAATTTATCGACAGCTTCATCTTTAGATAATTATACAAAAATTACAAAACACTTAAAATTGATTTGATGCAACATATACAAATTTGGATAATTGACATCAAGGAATTATGTTTGTGATGAATTTTAACTATATTGTCTTCAAAGGAGTTGTTAAATTTACGCAAGACTGGCGTTCTCATTCCATAATTATCCTTTTTTCACTTTTCATGGTTTTGTCTTTTTTCTATGAATCAGGATGCTGTTTATTTGGTACGGAGTCCTGTTGGTCTCATACAGATAAAGAGTATTGGTTTTTAAAGTCTAGTGCTGGCGATGTAGAGTCTAGCACTGAAAATTTAAAGTCTAGCGCTGAAGATGTAGAGTACAGCGCTGATGATGTAAAGTCCAGCGCCGTGATATAAAGTCCAGTACTGAAGATGTAAAACCCCAGCGCTGCAAATGTAAAGTCTACCGCTGTAGAAATATTAAAAATTTATTGTGGGAGATGTACAGTCTATCGCTCGAGAAGTAAAGCCGAGCGCTTGAGATGTAAAGTCGAGCGCTGCAGATATACAATACACCTGTGACGGCCTCCTCTGCATTATTTCCCAGGAATGGGCAATTATTTGGACTTTCTTTATAATTAAAGTCGAACGATGTAGATATAAAGTCAGGCGCTGGAGATGTAGTCCAGCACTGTAGATATAAAGTCCACAGACAGTAATAGTGGCCGACTTTACATCTCCAGTGCTGGACTTTGCATCTCCAGCACTGTACTTTACATCTACAGTGCTGGACTTTAAATCTTCATGGCAATATATCTTGGAAATAATTCCTCATGCACATGCACTTTAGATATATTCATATGGTGGGATTGAGTTAGTTCTTGCAATAAGCTCTTCCTCGTAATTTTGGTAAGTTTCAGAATAAGCAGGCACGTCTAGCATTGTCAACAGTCAGCTAACTGAAAACATGGATTAAAAATTCAGTTGAAGCTAGTCAACACAGGAGCTTGATATGCATTCTAAGTCCGGAACATGGTAAATGGTCATACTAGTATCTTAAAGAGTTTTTTTTTATTTGGGTGCTAGTAATTTGGTCAGTTGTTGATGACAGATATTTGAATTTGCAGAGTATTTATCCACAACTTTTAAAGGCTCTGGGTGATTAAATGCTAGACATTTTGCAAAGACACATGTCTATTGTTGAAAAGATATTCCCTCTAGGTTTTTTTTTTGTTATTTGTGTCGTCTGGTGCATGCTTTCTCACTGACGTTTACCCAACATCTCCTTTATGAGAGTCTTGATGGGGGCTCTTTTATTCTGTATTCCTTAATTTCAGGTCATTTTTCTCTATTCCTTAATTCCTTATATAAATTTTCCATTATTCTCTATTCTTTATATTTGAACACTCATTTTTTCTCTATTCTTCTTTATTTTTTTGGCTTATTTTTCGCTATTATTTATTTTTACGGGTCATTATTCTGTAGTATTGCATGGTCCATTACTCGCTATTCTGTAAACCCCATCCAGACCCTCCTTTGTTCATTATTGTAGAGATTTAGGTATATTTTCACCAAAAATTGCCTTGAAAAACATGGATCGTGTCATTTTCTTATATATTGCCATGTGAATGAATCTTAAATGACGAGTTCTAGTTTCATTTAACAATTTGCTTAGTGTTGGACATGTTATTGGTAATAACTAACCCTGTAAATTTAATATATCTTATTATTTCCTTTAACCGGTGTAAAATTAGTGCAATTGTGTACACAAATCTACTAAATCTGCAAAATAATAATGCTACAAATTCATAAATCAGATAAATATTAGAAAAATTCAATATTGTCGTTAAACAAGGCTGGTTCTGAGTGTTATTAAGGAAATACTTTGCAAATGTTTGGTTTCGAGGATAACCGAAAAATCAATAATAGACTGAAATGAAAAAAAACAAGAATCCATTACCTTCTTGTGATTCCATAATAATACTGACTGTTGAACGTTCACTCTATTACGACAATCACTTCATATACACAATAAAGATGGCATTGAAAAAGATTTGTTTGCTTAAAAATCAAATATTTGTCAAACATTAAATGAAATTTTTATAGGTATTTAATTGTATCGCTTGTATAGTGTTTACATGTTGTTGGATTAACGATTTTCATAACTAATAGATAATCCTGTATTAAATACTCGTTAAACAACTTTTTTAATCTCTTCAAGTGCAGGTTTGAATTGAAAATTTTCTGATATTGTTTAAACTATGAAACACATACTGAGAAGGACAATAATTTAAAGTTCTAAAAAATATCAATGATATCAAATCTTTATGGAAAAAATTAATATAAAATTGGACTCCAGACATAAGCAAATGTTCCAGTATAACTCTTTTTATCAATAATCTGAAATAGGATTTTTTTGTATTTTCTTTTGTGTACATGCATGGTAGTTGTTAAAAATATAGACAGTAGGATATTAAAAATTAATCTTTTTTCAACTTTACAGTCTTATTTTTTAAGGTGGTACCAAGCACCTTGACTAAAATTAATTTGGCTCGTTTTAATTTTCATAAAATTTTGACAAAATATTTACTTTGACCCTTTGACAAAAATATAAAAATTTCAAAAATTTTAACCACACACTGTATCGGAAAAAAATTATTGGATAAATAGCAGTTTGACAAACACTAATTTTGATCATTGAGAAGCTTAGCATTTCCTAAACAATAGAACGTGATTAAAACGTTCAGATGAATTATGCAGAGCTATCGCCCTGTAGTGTTATGTATCATCGTAAAGAGAATATACCAAGGAGATTCCAAAACAATAGGTAGAAGAAACAGACTGAAAAGAAAACGACAAAAAAGACAAAAAACAGTCCACAAACACTACAAAACACTAAAGACAGAACAGTATGAATATCGCTGAAAAATGAGACTGAACTCACGTGCTTTAGAAGAGTCAGTTGTTTCTGTTCCGCTAGTGACACTTGTTAAAATACGCTGATGAATCATATATATGCAAGAATTGGGCGTACTCGATAAGTTATGGAAAATGTCTCATCTTACACCGAAAACATCATCAAATTCATAAGCCACAGGTATGTGTAGATTATTTAACCCTTAATAATGACCAAATGTATTTAGTCTAAAAAGAAAACAGTTTTTTTTTCTCAAGACAACGGATACAAAAGATTATAACCGGTATAGAGACAACAAAGACATTCAAACAAAATTTAAAAAAAAAGCACATGACACAACACCGAAAACTTAAGCAAAAGCAGCCCGATCTCCATTAAAACGTACAGTGGAAGATCTCAGTGCTCCAAAAAGGTGAGCATTTATTATACTACTTGTGGCAATCGTCATGGTGTTAGTGGCAAGTTCAAATATGGGGATAAGCAGCCTGGTCGCCATCAAAACGTACAGTGGAAGAACTTAGGTGCTCCGAAAGGGTGAACTTACTGCTCTATTAGTGGCACTCGTCGTGGTGTTAGTGACAAGTTCAAATACTTGGATAAGTCGCATTTGTAGATTTCACAATCAAGTGGCTATGACAAATGAAACATACCATTGGTCATCTGTGACATAACATTACATAACGTTCAACCATATCATAAACGCGTCTGTAAAACTGTTAAAGAGATGACTTCAAAAATCAGGAACCCTTGATTCAATTGTATATAAGAAGTTATCCTTATGTGTTGCAGATAGGAAATGCAAGCAGTCTAGACTATCTTATCAACTCACTGCAAGATATAAATTTCATATGCAGGTTAAAGTTCACAATGGGAAAATTTAAAATTTATGTCTTAACTGAACCACTTTTTTTGTCAATTATTTTCAAATGTATTTTTAATATATGAAGCATACTTAATATTGTATATATAATAGTGTATATTCGGTATCATTTTTTCAAGTTTTAATTTAAAAGATGCCATAAACATATTCGCATACATTTATCATTTACGTCCCGCTTTATAAATGATGTCCTGCCACTGATTAATTTAAATGTTCGGTGACATGTAGCTTCTTTTTAAACCTCTTTAGAATATCTTGTACCAAACTTGCCTTCTACAAATGAGACCTACAAATCACTCCAGGATCACCTGGGAATAATATTGTACAGTTATAACTTATGAAGCAGACTGCTAGCTTAGTTCACCCCAGTTTTTTGCGAGATTCGTATTGCACAATCTAGTCATTCATGGACTGTTGTTTTAGCCATGATCCTGTGATCATGATCTCCCATAAAGCTTTTGCTAAAGTTTGGCGTTCGTTTGTCTGTGGGTGCTGTATAAATACGCAGTCACGTCTTGTTGGAAGTGGGAAGACAAATCCGATACTGCGTATTAGGTGAATGCAACACTCTCTGAAAGTTTTTGAATCCTTACAACAAATGTCTGAGGGATCTGTACGAATGTACGTAGTCTGTTGCAATGCAAATTTTCGGCGCTATTCAACATACTCTATTTTTCCAGTTGCAGTCCGAATTTATCACCTTTAATTCTGATTGGCCTACCTATCTGAACCTAACAATTGTATTACTTTTTTACATGTTCTTGTCCTTGTCTAGAGAATGGCTGGCATATTTGCCACTGAAGCAAGCAAGTAAGCAAGCAAGCAAGCAAGAAATAATAAATTAATCGACTTGCGGAATTCGATTGTTCCCCGGTATCTTCTCTTATTATTAACATAAATGTATTTAATAGGTTTTTTTCCTTGACTTTTTATATTGAATATCAATTTCCATGTAGACATCGCCAGGGTATTTTTTTGTTTGTTATACTCTTGCCCTTAACATTTTATAAAGGGACAGTATATACATTCCATTTTGTTTTTCCTATTTACTTTTTTCGCTCCATTTGAAGCACACATGAAATTCTTAAAGAAACAGGTATTCGCTTGCTTTAAGTAATTGAAAAAAAAAATATTAAAATAATTTTCGAAGAATAGTTTGGGCTCCTAAGATTATTTATAAATTTAAACAAAAATTACTTGAAATAGCGCCTTCGCGCCTCCTTTATATTAAAAATTCAAACTACGTGATAATTATTTGTTGTGGCCCTAAGTAAAATTGTTTCTGTGCGTTTTCCGTATCAACTTTGACCCAATAATTTTACAAAATGTTTGAGTCGGCGTTGAAACTCCAGAAAGAGGCTAAATTGACACCCAAAGTACTTGTGATACTACGCAGTACATAACCTGTCATGACTTTATGTTTTCCATCCAATTAAATCCCAAATGTAAATGTTTGGGGGAAATACCAAAGTTACTGACATTTCTAAAATACCGTTGCATATGGAGGGTTATTTATCGATACTTAGCCTGTACGTCAGTCTAAATTTTCAACAAAAGAAAGCGATATCTAGTGATTTAATATATAAGGACGTGCTTTCAGAGTAGATATGAAAATTAATGTAGGTGGAGATTTCTTAATGGTTTAATTAAATAAACGAATCCCAGCAACAATATCGAAGTCTCTTCTTTATAATCTAAGGTCCATAAAATTTCTCATTTACCTCCAGGATGACAGCATTGAAAAACTATCAATTTGAAAAAGTCAAAATTTCCCATCTGTTTCCTTAATACTGTTGTAGTAAAACGTATTCTTATGTAATGTTAGATGTGTCTTAGTAACCCTAGTAACAAATTAGTGTTTAATATTGTTTACTGTCAGTTTGAACAAGGAAAAGGAACTATTTTCATGGTGTATAAATAAAGGAGGAATAACAACTTTGATGTAATACGGTTCGGAACCTGAAAATGAAATCATCGATGCTTTTACTCGTCTTTCTTTTGTGTTTATCGTGGTCAACATCATTGGTGAGTACCTAATTTTTAACAGTTATAAAAATAAAAAAATAAGTTAATAGATGATTTTCTGCAATAATTCTTTTAAATTAACTGTTAACAAAACTTTGAATTGTTTGAAATACCAAGGATTTTCTACCCCAGGAAGAGATAACCTTAGCTGAATTTGGCAAAACCTTTCGGAACTTTTGGCCCTCAATGTTCTTCATCTTCGTACTTTAGTTGGCCTTTTAACTATTTTCTTTCTAGCGTCACTGATGAGTCTTTTGTAGACAAAACGCGCGTCTGGCGTAAAAATTACTAGTCTGGTATCTTTGATAATTTGTTTTTTTACAACATCTTGCGCTGTGTATACTATTTTCACATTTCTAGTGTATTCTAGGTATAATAATACCAATTTCAGTACGCGAGACATGTGTTACTGGAATAGTCCAAACCTAAAGGAGGCAAACACATTACAGATTTATAACATCATACAAATATTCGTTTTTATACTAGTTGTGTTTATTTCCTAAATATAGTAACAAAGCTATATTTTGTGCAATGTCAATTTCATCATGGATCACTTTTTCCACAATCATAGGTTCATTTAGGGACGAAAATAAGTTTGAAATGTGTATTACTATTTAAATAGCTATCAAAGTATTAATTCAAATTGCAGTATAAAAACAATATTAGGTCAACGTCAGGAAAATATAAACTTTTTTGTATTCGGCACAAAACTGGGGAAGGGCTCGGTTTAGCCTCGCCCATCCCCAGTTTCTCAGCCTCATACAAAAAAGTTTATATTTTTCTGACATTGACCTAATGAGTTATTTATATTTTTGTAAATAAACAATTAAGAAACTTACGCTATGTTGTCTTTGTGTTATTTTTAAACATAGATATTAGTTCTGAAACCATATACTCTTTTGAAGCCATCATTACTGTCTGACTATTTGAAGAACTTGCAACATTCTACTCGATCACACAGAAGGGAACCAAATGTAAATCGCCCACCAGAAGAAGAAGGCACTGCGTTTGAATCTGATATTATTTTGACCCCTGAACAAGCTAACGAAATAGCTAGAGAAATGCTGACCGAAAACAGGAAACGACGACAGACAGTAAAACAAGCTACTAAGATTTGGCCGAATGGTATTATAGTATATAGATATGACGATCAGTGGCGTAAGTATAACTTTGGGAGATTGTTTTCAAACGCGTTTGTCAAGAATCACATTTACATGTCTTTCTGTTGTAATTTCATAATAAGATGATAGTTTCCAAACGTTATAAGAGGGTGGGGATGGGATTTACAGAATAGAAAATAATGGACAAAATGTGCAGAATAAATGTCAAAATACATAAAGAATAGAGAAAAATAGGTAGAAAAAATAAAGAATAGAGAATAATTGGGTGCTAAAATATAAAGAATAGAGTATAATGGGGTAAAAAACAAGGAATACAGAAAAGTGACATAGAAAAATAAAGAATACACTCTCTTATAAGCGATGAAGATTCTTACATTTTTGAAATAGTTATTTTGGGACTTACAAAATAGAGATATGGAAAAATGCATTCATTAATGGCAGGTTTATTGTGCAATTAAGATAAAATACAAAGAGATATATATGTCTCTTTTCCGCAATTTTACGCTTATGTTTTGTTCTTATCACTAGGTCAGTACCATTGTAGTTATGAAACTTAGAGGTTTCACATAAAAAGGGGTATAGATGGTATCATTAAAAGATTCTAATTTATCTAACAAATCGAAATGTTAGTCATATTTGCAAAAGATATCAAAACTATACCCTATAAAAAAAGATGAGATCCTGTAAATCTTAGTAATAGTTGAAAGACGTTTTTTTAAACAGTTTTGTGAGAGAAAAAGGGGAAAAAATAACTCTTCCTATTGAAGCAAAGATTCAAAAAAAGTAATTTTGTGAAATATAGACCAGACAAATAAATGCTATCTCGTTGTTACTACAAAACAAAGGGCTTTTCAAAAGAAACAAGAAGAAATCAAGGGGCAATATAAATCAAAAGTTTGTTACAGACAACAAGAACCATTGAAAAAACTTGTATGAACTCATGTCCTTTCGAAGGGTGGCAGCTTCTGTTCCACAATTGGCACCCGTCCAGTTGCTCTTGCATAAATGTCCATTTGGGAGTTCCGTTTTAATATCAGGTCGTCTGTCATCATTCATGAAACATTCATTCACAGCATACCTTCAGTCGAACAGAATCAATAAAGATTATTTTAGTTCCATAGATAGTTGAATTTTTTTTTTCGTTTTACAGCCTTTCAAAACGTACATTTTGTTCTACAATTACCGAAAATATTCAAATGCTAATTTAAGCAAATTTTTCAATCAACGAATAGTTAAAGCTAAATTTTTTTTTCAACAGCTAATAACCAAAATGGTAATCTAGCAAAAACTAATATAGAAAAGGCGATGAAATTGTGGGAAGACACAACGTGTCTAAAATTTATCCGTCAGACACCAAACACACCACTAGTCGGTTATAGCGTTGTCAACATATTGTACGCACACAAGTACGTATACATTTTAGTACATTTCTTAGAAACATACCATTTTAGAACTACTTTCAAAAAGTATGATTATTATTAACTTTCAATGATATATTGAATTGAAAGGCAAAGTGAATTTCATCTGAATAGTGAACATATTTGTATTTTTGTGTGTATGTGGCATATTATAGAATACACAATTAAAAATGAAAATGTCATCAGAGTTGTAAACTACATCATCATTCAAATCAAGTTTTTCTAAGACTTTGCAAGGATTTTGTATAGTTCAAAACAAATTATAACATCAAATAATAATATTTTTAATGTTCGTAATGCACTTGTCAGAAGAACAGAAAATTTTGTAGTACTACACTTTCCCATTTTTTTGGAAAAAAACTTAACGGTTATTTATTGTACCCTTGGTTTATCCTTTTCTCCTTTTTTAACGAATATATGTTCCATGTAAATGTTGAAATGACATATTTTCAGGAAAGTGATATTCATTATTGCAAACATTTTCTTAAACAATCAAAGAAATAATCTGCTATTTCATTTGAATTACACTTTGTTGTCTGCATTGACGTATAACATTTTTCGCGCACGAGACAAAATCAGATAGCATTTTCTGGTCGCTGGTTTCTTTCCTGCTTGAATAATTAATTTTAGATGTGATATTTAAATACCTTCATCACTTGAAAACATATCCCTTTGACATGACTTTTTTTCTGAATAATTTCTGTGTGTGGAATATAGTTTTCAATGAACGAGAAGTTCTTATCGTCTCAAATTATATATGTAGATGTCAATCACTGATTGGAAGGTATGAACATGGGTCCCAAGACTTAGAAGTTGCCACATACTGCATAGACAAGGTATGGAATCTGTTTTGTTTCTTTTTACTTTTAATTATTTCTTGTTCTTTTTTCTTTGATGGAAAATTAGTATTTTTGTGCATTAAATCATTTAATATATGAACTAAACAATTATTTTGGATGACTTAAGTTACACGTTCTTGGATATACATATGATTTCTTCACACGATTTATGAAATATTTTACAGATTGGCAGCTTGGCCCATGAGCTTGGTCACGTAGCAGGTATGTTTCACGAACACTCTCGACCAGATAGAGATACAAACATTACAGTGTTTATAGAGAATGCAAAACACGGAACTCAACAATACTTTAAAAAACATGGAAAGGACGCAGAACGAACGAATGAACCATATGACATTGGATCTGTTATGCACTACGGCCCATTGGTAAAAATTATGCAATATTATGCAATATTTTTATTCCAAACAAGCAATCTGAAAACACATGGAAAATACAAGAATAAATTTTTTTTTCTCAACTATCTGTACTTTATACTTTTAAAGTATGTACCGCCTATTTCGACATTTCTTTTGAATTCTATTCCAAATAATTTGTTAAACAACACATTATATTTATCACGCTTCTTTTGTTGTTTTCTTCGTTGAAGATACAAGTGTAAAATCAAAGAATAGTTTCCTTTAACAAATGTACTAGTCGCATTGGCATAAATACCGCATCTTTTTATTTTATAGTTTACAAAATAAACGATATAAAACAATGCATTTTCCATGTAGAAGGAGCCCGCTCATTAGATACACGTTACAAATCAAATATAATTGACCAGTTAGTCTTCTACAGAGTGAAAACCGTTGTTTCAAGGCAAACACGCTAATTTTATTTTTGTATTTCATATCCAAAATTTACTATCTAAGAAATTGATACTTGTGGTGTATGCATTTTTTCTTTCATATTCTCTTGTTATATTGCAGTTTTTTAGTAAAGATGCCAACTCTAATAAATATACTATGCAACCACACGATAAAAGACTAATGGCTGCAATGGGACAAAGAACACACTTGAGTTTTACGGATATAAAAACAATCAATGATTTATATGATTGCCATAGTGAGTTTATTTATAAAGATAAAAATCTAACTGCCTTGTTCACAGCTCAGATGTAGGAGCCCTTGATTCGATATTTTGTTCACAGCTCAGGTGTAGGAGCCCTTGATTCGATTCTGAACATTTCAATCCAAAGACATTGACATTGATCTGTTCTTGCTCCTCCGCGGCGCATACAGCATTAAGGAGTAAGAACACATACTTATTGGCTCGGAGACAAACATTTCCCCCGGTATGGTAACATATCATCTTAATAGCATATCAATGATGCACTCTTTTATAAAGCAGGGACGATTGTATATAAGTATGGCGTTAACATGGTATTAGCCTTAATATACATATTATATATACAGCTGGACATAAAAGGACAAATAAATATAGATATAATCTTCATCATGAAACTGACATGTTTTTGCTTAATCGAATTATGACTATTGAACAGCGGTATACTACTGTTGCCTTTATTTAAAAAGTATATGAATTATATAATACATTTAACAGTAAAAATCAATGATGTTCATTGGTTGTTATTCTGACTAAATGTGTTTCCAAATAATGATTAATTTCCATTCTGCAATGGCTATGATAATTTCCAATTTCCAATTTTAATAATGAATGTGTGTCATAGGGTTAACACAGAAAACCAATGACATCAAATGGTCAACTTAATATCTTCAACAATGATTTTATACAGATGCTTGGGTTTTTCTTTTCTTTTAGAAAACTGTCCAAGAGGTTTGCAGTGTAATAACGGTGGTTACATTGGTCCAAACTGTGCTTGTACGTGTCCTTTAGGTTTAACTGGAAGAGAATGTACAAATGTTGTACATAGTTCGTCAGGTATATAAATATGTATATTCTATGTAGATTCAAAATCAGATTAAGTCATTGTAAGTTTGTTATTTCTACTATTTTGATGTCGCGAATTAAAACGTCGTCTGATATATAAATTTGCCGTTTTTGTCCTATTCCCTTTTGTGGAATTTTGACTGAGTAAATATGGAATCGTATAGCACGTCATGCATGCATAGAGGTAGACGTTTACCAAATCTTGCTCCTTGTGGATTTTATTCGATTCCCTCATTTTTTTTCTAGGTTAGTATATTGGAATGAATTTCGGTAAACGACTACTGCTGCCTTTTTAACATACTCTATAACAATATATTAAAAATTCAGTTTACAGACAGGATACACATAATTGTTCGTAGTTTCAACTACAAGGCTCTTGTGCAAGCAAATTTAATAACCGATGATTATATTCAGGTGTTTTTTTGTTTCCACTTTACATAGGGCTTTATCTCTGATCTTATTTCTTTGTGCAAAATTCTGAATCTACGTATTTTCACCTTTATCGATGTTAGGAGAACATGTTTCGGACGATTCCATATACCATTATATTTTAGGGGTTTTTAGATTCAGAGTCGAGTTAATGTATATTATTTAGTGTTTGCGAGAAATTAATCATTTTTCTGACAAAGTCACTAATATATATATCTAAATAAATAATAATTCAAAATATAATACACTATCAATATAAACTAAGGAAATGTGGTACGATTGTCAATGTGATAACTATCAAACAGGGTCCAAATTCGATGGATTGAAGCAATTATAGATCTTTGTACAACAATGAACAAAATTTATACCGTATAGTCGGCCATACAAGGCCCGGACACGACGAAATGTGAAACAATTCAAACAAAAAAAATAACTGCCGGATTCATGACAAAACAATTATAGGAAAACCGATAACAGGATTAAACGTCAACCACTGAATAACAGTCTCCTGACTGGGGACAGGCACACCCAGATTTTGGCTGGGTTGAAAATTGTGAGCGCTCAACCCTCACTCTAACATGGGATCATGGTATAATAGTACAACACAAGAACTAACTGTGACAATCAGTTGGAAATGGCTAGACTAACATTTCACAAAGCATAAAGATATTATCTTAATGAAACTAAAAGATAAGATAATATGTAAATGCTCTGTCAAACGTGAGTGATCTACCATGCAATTTAGTTAATAGAAAGATAACACTGGAACTGAAGAATGTCATTGAACGAAATGTCTTTAAATATGGTTTGTATACAACACCTGTAGAAACTTCTAGTTTATGAAATACAAAATATACTTATAAAAAAATCAAATGAGAGAGATTTAATCTCCTGCAAAGTTAAATGAGACGGTTTTTACTGTTCTGTTTAGGTCCTTTTTTTCTTTTATAACCACAATTTTGTTTTGTACTCGAATTCTAACATTGAGCGTACCAAATGAAAATTATTCCACAAAAACTTGAAGGTGCAATGGCAACTGTATTATACATCTATAACATATACTATCATTGTATTTCAGTATAATTCAAATATTATTTGTTTCCAGGATGTGGAGGCGTTTTGACAGGTTCATCAGGAAAATTCTCGAGTCCTAGTTATCCACAAAAATATCCACTCTCAACAACTTGCACATGGCTGATTCAGGTATAGTAACAAATGGGATGCGCTAGTAATATAGCTTGTAAAAATGTATAATTTATACAAAAAAAAAAAAATAAATAAAAAATTATACACTAAAGTGAACTGTACCAACTTGTCGAATGAGGACAACACAATGACAACATACAAGAGAAACCACTTATAAACTGCATAACCAAACCTAATACAGGAACAAATTGTTGCGAGATATGATATTCTAGATAATGTGTTTTCTTTTGAATTTGTTGTTGTGTATTCATCGACTGATCTATAGTTGCTTTCATCGACATCATTTTGTCTCGAGCGGAAATTTTTTTATCAATCAAACTACATCTCCTTTTTTTAAAACAGAAAAAGACTAGAAAACACCAAAAAAGTAATTTCTTTTAAATAAGAGACATTACAACTTACAGGTTCCATGAAGTATAATAGAAGTATATATGTAGTTTTATTGTTTTTTTTTTTCTGGTTTTATAAAGTCATGAGCTTTTCTGACCTGATTTATATTGGACGTTCTTTCATGTACCTATGGTTATTCACTACTCGAAATTGAAAAGGGAATGTTGAGGTTTTGAAAAATAATTGTTCAAACCCCGTAAAATATACATGTTCCTGCCACATGTTCATATGTCTAACTAAGGCTACATTTCGTTTTGGCAAATTGGCTTTCATAAATGGGCTTCGAACACAGTACAAACTGTTACATTTTACTTTTAATTACTATACCATGGGGCCGATACCGCGTCTGATGGACTATTAGTAATTTGGGAATATCCTGGATTGCTAATCCTTTAGAGTAATATGCCCTATAATCAAGGTTTTTTTTATTGATAATAATGCATTACCTACATATTTAAGAATTCCTTTGCTGTCCAACTGTTACATTTGTAGCCCTGATTGTTCTTGATGAAGGGGTTAGTAAATAAAATGTACATCAGATGCAGTGAAAATCACTATTAACTAGAATTCATTCTTTGTTGTAGTTTGCAATCAACTTCACGTTAAAAATATTTCGTCTACATACAGCAAAAGAGACAAAACAAATATCATGAAGGTCATTTTAATAGAATTTCAAACAGTTACGTGTAAATTATCATGGAAAAATTTAACCTGAATTGTGTTATTGGAATGAAGTGAAATCTCCAGTAATAAAGGTACCAAAGAGAGTTGTTGTTCTTCTCTGTATTTTATTTTGTTTGGATTACATAAATGCATTCTTATAAAGCAATACTCATATTTTAAAATAAATATTAATGATAAAAATGTATTGAAACATTTCAGGGATCAGCAGGATCTTCCATCAGATTGAAATTTACCTCACTAGACATTGAAGATGATCCTATCTGTTTTTATGATCACATCGAAGTAAAAACTTATGGACCAACTTTGGAAGGGCCGAGGTAGGACGAATTATGATTTTCTTTTAATTTTTCGTCAATATTACTAATTTGCTTATCGCTTTTCAAAAGAGACTGAATGGTTATATGGAAAGAGGTCATTCATGAAAAAATAAGAACAAAAGAGAGCCTTTCACTGAATTCGTATTTCCAACAAGAGGACTAAACTTTATTCGAGGGTGTCAACGATTAACATTCACTTTTTGCAATGTTTTTGTTTTAGCAATGGGTTTTAGGTTTTATTAGTTTAGACTTCACTATATGATTAGAAATTAAAAAATAATTTAGAATAAATACCAAGCTTTTTTAACATCTGTCAATCAATTGGCCGTTTCAGAATCTAATGCATTCTGGGTAATATTTTTAAAAGTGTACACTAAAACGCTGTGATTGGCTCACAACGTCCAAAACAATGGAAATTCAACCAATGACGTGACGTTGGTTTCATTTTGGGGTACGAACAATGAAATTACCCACGACCCGTTAGATTCTGAAACGGCGAATTTCATGCAAAACTCGTTTTATCTGTCAAAATATTGAACGACTGACCAAACGTACATTCAAATTTTGTTGGTAACAAAACTCAAAGGCATCAAGTGGCCGTCAACAATAGATAAGATGCAAAAGTTACTAACTAAAGTTCAAAACTAGTGAAATTATTTTAAATTTATAAATAAGAGTCAACAGTGAGTTACCGATGTTCTAGTATCATAAATCCAGATAAAATATACACAATCAAGATATTCAAAAATAGGGAATCGCATGAATCATGTATCAACTGCCATGCGATCCAGACTCAAAATGTCTTGAAAAGGGAAAAATACACAAGCAGTAAATTTACTTATAATCCTTCCCTTCGTCTATATCACTCTGCTCAGTCGCTCCGTATATCTCGTATCACATCTTTGAGGCGGGAGCAAACATTATCAGCGACGTCACAATGTATGAGGAGAAATTATCAGCGACGTCACAATGTGCGCAGAGTTATCAAGCTTATTTTCGTCAAGCGTAAAACTGTGTAAGGGAGAGGAAAAAGAACAGTTACAGAACGAAAAACAGATTATTGAGTTTAGATCTTACATGTTAACACCATGTGAAGCTTTTTCTTGTTCGCTGTGCTCCTTCGCCATAAAAAGGTTCACATTGTGGCTTGCAGCTGATATTTAACGATACCAATGTGAAAAGAACCCGATAATTTATACAGATCAGACGACATGTAAGATCTAAGACCAAGGCACATGAATATGTAAAAACGAAAGTATATAATGAAAAAATGTAAAAATTTTCAAACGACAACAACAATTTTATTGACATATCTATTTAAAGGCAAGAAAGTAACTGCGACTAAATCACTGAGATACATTTAATGATTGGACACATTCAAATATGTGAAACTTGCATTTCATAATTTTAATGTAATCAAAGGAAATATGATGGTGATGATATTGAGGATGATGATGATGATATTGATGATGATGATAATGATGATGATGGTGATTTTTTGTGTGCCTATACAATATATCAAGCTATAAAACACCTTAATTAAAGAAGTTCGTAATGAATTTAACATGATTTATATCCAAAAGTGATAATAAATACCTTTCCATGAAAATTGAAAATAGTTCAAAATAAAGTATTAACAAAAATACCGAACTCCGAGGTAAATTCAAAAAGGGGAATCGTTAAAACTTGCCAACGGAATATTACTGACTTGGTACAGGCCATTTTCCAGAGAAAATGGTAGGTTAAACCAGATGTTATATCTAGCTTAACCTCCCACTTGTATTGCAATTGTTTATAATTCCGTAAAATTCATATTAATTATACATTTCCGTAAAACATTATTCTATCAATTATGAGTTCTTAAAAAGGATAATCAGATATGTAAAGACGATACAAATAATCATAATTAATCTACTAAAATTGCATTTCAGATATTGCGGTAACACCATTCCAGCAGAAATCAGATACAATGGAAATACATTGGTTGTGAAGTTTATCTCAGATGAGGAGACTACTGAATACGGATTCGAAGCTCAATATACTATTCATTAATACTTGTCAACAAAATTTGACTTTTTGTCATTTTGCACACACATGTTTATTTTGATAATAAATACATTATTTATTGATTTTATGTCAAATACAAAATGGGTCATTTTAAAGGTCTTCACCACGTACTTTTAAGATTAAGAACATCTATTTTATTTACTTGTATCGACCGTATTGTGACTATTTGTTCAAAAAAACTATGTTATTGTTCTAAAGTAAGACTGAAATTCCTTTAGCAGTAAAAATCTGAATAAACTGGTTTTGTTTGATCTAATTTAGGTCCTTTGGTCATGATGCTCTCACATAATATATGTGTTTGCGTTCCAAACTTTTGGTCTCGAACAAATCTGATGAAGGTTATTCCAGACACATATGTCGTGTGCACGGACATTGGAGTACTTCTTTTTACATAATATAATATTGAGAAAAATGCTGAAATTTTCATCAAGTACTTTCGAGAACAATCAAACATTTTCTCTTTTTTTTTTGTATTTATTTTATTTTTTCTCACTTCGATTGTTGAGATTCCCATTAACAGACATGGATGTTGTCGTTTTTACATATGTGAAAGTGTTTGTAAAGATAACAACTTCTCAATTTTTCTTTAGAAGGGAAAGAAACTGGGATACAACATGAATTCCCAAAGTCACGTTTTTCTGTATCTTTTTTTTCTCTTCGTTTTATTTTTTTTTTACCGTTTTCCGCTTATTAAAGTACGGCTGGCGGCTGCTAACAGTCTCTGTGCAATAACTTATGAACCGTTCTACCAATGCTTTTCATTTCAAATTTTGATACTTATGACAAGATGGAGGTAAAATTGGCGATTTACTCTTTTACCGTACAAGAGTTATGGTCCTTCATATGTTGGAAAACGGCACATTATATCGGTTCCGTTCCATAACTTATGAATCTTTTTACGAATGGTTTTCAAATTATAACATGTTGCTACTGATGACACAATGGGTTTTAATTCAGCAACAAAAAGGAAAATAGTTGTATAACTGTGCATGTTTTGCCTATATCTAAAAAATAAAGCAGTTATAGCACACTTGACATAATTAGTATCATAAGAAGGTCAAGATCTATTTACTTTGAAAATGTCAGATAGATCTGTCAACTGTAACGTCGATTTCGTAGATTTTGGCAAATTGTAAGTATTTGTCTAAAAGACATTAAGAGCATTATCCAATAAATACTTATTTTATCAACATTATTACATTGTTTTGTCAGGCAGTATTCGTTCATTTTGGTTTAGAACGTTCTTTAATTCTACCAAAACAGATACAAAAATAACCTTTTGATGTTGAATTCAAATTCATACGATTGGCTTATTTTCCGATATCATCAATTTGAGCGACGCGAATATAAGGTAAAAGTGAGCAATGTTTTTCCCCTTGGCCTTAACATAGATATAGGAAGATGGGGTATGAGTGCCAATGAGACAACTCTCCATCCAAGTCACAATTTGTAAAAGTAAACCATTATAGGTCAAAGTACGGCCTTCAACACGGAGCCTTGGCTCACACCGAACAGCAAGCTATAAAGGGCCCCAAAAATGACTAGTGTAAAACCTTCAAACGGGAAAACCAACGGTCTAATCTATATAAAAAACGAGAAACGAGAAACAATTATGAACCACATCAACAAACGACAACCACTGAACATCAGGTTCCTGTCTTGATAGTGTCATGCGATGTCATAATCTTCAATCATTTAATGAAGCCGGTCTTAGATTCGTTATTTGCAGTACTAAAATCAGCAGAGATTTTTACTTAAAGTGGTAGTGTTTTTGCATTTATTGTACTATTCTTGATATTAACCCAGTAGTTATAAACATTCATCAAAGATACCAGGTGTAAAAAGTACGTCAAAAGTGCCCTTCGCTAACACAATATTTCACAGTACCCGAATCTATTCAGACTTATAAGTTATAAGTCACATATTATGTACTTTTTTAAAGAACTATAGTTTCATTTTAATAAACAACTTTGATACTTGATCAATGTATTTACGTACGTACATAGACATCATTTGTTATTACTAGATTGAATTGTTCATATTGTAGGGTATCGAAGTAAAATTGGTGACAATATTGCGTCGTACATACTACAAGGTAGCACAAACTTTTATTTAGTCAATACATTGCATTGTAAATTTTATGACATATTGCTATCGTGACATTATTAATAAAAAAAAAAGATTTTAGAAAAAAACTGTCTGAATGTCTATGGATGAAAGTAATAAAAGTGACAATATTGCGTCGAACACATTTGAAGATAGAACCAAATTTTATTGAATCAATATTTTATATTGCATTGTACTTGGAATATTGTATATTGCTATCCCAAGTATTAGAAAATGAAATCAGAATTACACATTTAAATGTGTTCTCCATTTTAATCGCGAAATATCCGAAAATAAACGCCTTCAAAATATACCCAGATAACAGTATGGAATAACACATATATTTTTCATTGATATCATATCTGCTAGTCAGCTTCTATAATATTATGCTATATTATGCTGACATAATTCATTTATTGGAAAGGTTGTAAACCTGAAGTTACTAATACAAATTACAACACTTTATAAATTTCATACGTCCGTAGCGCTTTTCTGGATTTACCTCACTAGTAAACGAATTTTACTATGAAACGGTCATTTTGATATCAGCATCAACTGAAAAGTTTAAACAAAAAATAATCAAGTTATGTTCAGTCTTTCAGTCAATTTTCAAATTTATCGAATGCGGTAAATTCAGCACTGTCAATTGTGACGGTTCAGTAACTTTTCAGAGAAATCAGTGTGTTGTTGATCTGTACAGGTAAATAACAACTAATGAACAGTTTGAACTATCTCAATTTACTGCAAGCGAATTGTCTGAATATTACTGAAACTACCGTAGTTGATAATTCCGACCAAAAATACGGAAAAATGAAAATGATCATTTACTGTCTTTTAAGAGCTGTTCAGATCGAAATGACCGTTTCATACTAAATCAATTTTCTAGTGCCTTCATAAGGAACGATCAAACCCTAATATTTGAAAGCCAAGGATTAATAATAACCGAAACAATTGAAGAACTGTATGACCAAAAAAAGGACTAAAAATAATTTCTTCGGAGTAATAACACCATTGATTTTCTGTTATTAGTCTTTGTTAAATTGGCACTTTTCAAAAAAATTGTGCAATATTTATCTTTGTTTCAAGTAAAGAAGTACTTGGCATGAGTAAAGTTTTATCCCTCCAGTACTACAGACAAAATTTCACAGAACATTTCATTGCATATAAAATAATAACCATCACTGGAAGTTAACCAATCTTATCTAATTTAAATTTTCATCCCTTTTTTTTCCTGTTCACAAGCTTTAGTAGCCATGTAACCTCCAGTTTCCAAAATATTTTATAGAAAGACCAAATGAAAACGAGTGGTGCTTTGAAGCACACACGATATATGTTAATGACTCATATTTTTTTCTGCAATGAAATGCCGGGTTAACTTCCTACAACTGTCAAATTCAAGGGAATATTTTTTCTCGACCCTTTTTCGTATGAAACCGGATGTGACGTACTATGATTTTGGTGGTATTACACCTAAGAGCAACTTTGCTTGTGGGAGTTGAAACCTTAGTTTCTAAATAATTTATAAATCTATAAACGAAAAATTAAAGAAAGGTCTGTTATAAATCATGTCAGTACCGAAGTACAGACTACTGAGCTGACGATACCCTTGTGGACTGGTACCATCACCAGCCGTATCAAACCAGTGATGTAAAAACTGAAGAAAACAACCTATAATAAATTGCATGCGTTTGAAGTGCTTTTCTGGATTTACGTAAATCAGGTAATCGTACCATTAAGTGTCTGTGCCAAGAAAGGCTATTTCGACTTTTGAATCTTTTCAACTCTTGTACAAGATGACAACTAGAATGATAAAATACCAAGGGATAAATAAAAACGACAACACCATAGCCAAAAAAGAAAACGACGAAGACAAGCAACGGACCCCAAATCAAAACACCTAAATCTAAAGATTCAGTACCACGAACCCCATAAAAATCGGAGGTGAAATCAGGCGTTTTACTTATTGTAAATTTTATGGAAAGTTCATCACTTATGAATCTTCCTTGATTACAATATTTCTACAAATTATCTACATAAGATAGAAAATTGTTTGTTAAGATATCCAAGTCGATATAAAGGATAGGAAAGGACTTGTAAAACACCAAAACATTCAACATACTTTTATTTTAGTAATTTTGCAATAGCCCAATGAACACACACTATAAATGACCGCAAACCTACATTCACATATAAGATTTTTTTTGTTGAATCAGACATACAAACATAATTGAAGTTAAATGAACGTAACAGTATTTTAACGATGTTCAATTCTCATAAACCGATTAGAAAGACAAATTACGGTGAAAAAAGAAACAGAGGGAATCGCATGAACTCCAAAAGGAGCGAGACCGGGTGCGTCGACAGGGTAAGAGTCTCCTGGTATGCATGCATTACTTGCTATGCAAATCAGTCTTCAGTAAAAATCAGCCAATCTGGAATGGAACACAATCGATAAAATTACAGATAAGACGACTGTTTTTGGTATCTAAATATCTAAAACATTTCACTAGTGATTTGAGAGACCTACGTATCGTATCGGTCTACCAATTCGTATTTGTGTCCGTGAACCTTTTGTACTGTCGATATCAGTCGTTATTCCTCTTAACTCTGTTGGAAAAGTATTTGCGTAAGGAGCACACTCCTTCTAAGAAAAATATATTGTGTTAAAATCCACTGGCATAACGTATCAATTGAGATATATAATCGCAATATAATGAGGGAGAGGATATGTTAATGCTGAGAATGGGAAGTTGACCTTTGGAAAGTTGAAATCATCACGTTTGTCGTATATTCTAGTTGGAAGTCTTTCATTGTGTCAAACAAAGGAATTCAATTTAAAAGTTTTATGTTCCTTAAAATATTAAAGGGGACATTAAATGTTCAAAATTTCACATGTATTCAAACATTGACAAAACATTTCTGCATAGCTTTTTCAATAGAACCTACTATAGTA